AGGGGCGGCTGCAGGTGCGGCTGCTCCAGGGGCCAGGGGCGGCTGCTGCAGGTGCGGCTGCTCCAGGGGCCAGGGGCGGCTGCTGCAGTGGCGGCTGCTCCAGGGGCCAGGGGCGGCTGCTGTAGAGGTGGCGGCTCCAGGGGCCAGGGGCGGCTGCAGGTGCAGCTGCTCCAGGGGCCAGGGGCGGCTGCTGCAGTGGCGGCTGCTCCAGGGGCCAGGGGCGGCTGCTCCAGGGACGGCTGCTCCAGGGGCGACTGCTCCAGGGGCCAGGCGCGGGGTAGGGCAGGGCGACGTGGCGGGCAGGGGCGACGCCGCGGGCAGGGGCGACGCGGCGGGCAGGGCGACGCGGCGGACAGGGGCGACGCCGCGGGCAGGGCGACGCGGCGGGCAGGGCGACGCGGCGGGCAGGGGCGACGCCGCGCGGGCCCCGCAGGAGTGTGGCGACGAGCGGGGGGGGGGGGGGGGCGACGCCCGGGTCCCGCTGGGGCGGCGCGACGCACAGGAGTCGCACCTCGCGGGTCCCGCAGGGGCGTCGCGAAGAGGCGGGGGCGACACGCGGGTCCCGCAGGGGCGTCGTAACGAGGCGGGGAGGGGACGAGCGGGTCCTGCAGGGGCGTCGTGACGAGGCGGGGAGGGGACGCGCGGGTCCTGGCGGGCTGCAGCCGTCGGCGTGCGGCAGCCGCGGCGCGCGGGTGACGGCCTGCGCGCGAGCGTCGGCCTACGGGCGGCGGCGGCCTACGGGCGGCGTACGGGCGGCCTACGGGCTGCGTAAGGGCGGCCTACGGGCGGCGTACGGGCGGCCTACAGGCGGCGGCGGCCTAGGGGCGACGGTGGGCGACGGGCAGCCTACGGGCGGCGGCCGACGTGCAGGCAGGTCGCGGGCAGCTCAAGGGGCCACGCGAGGCTGGTACGAACTGCGTGGGCAGCTAGCGAGCTACGCGCGCACGGGCAGAGGACGGCGCGCGGGCAGAACGAAGGGCGGGGCGCGCGAGGGCGCACTAGCAGTAAAAGGGCGCACGAGGGCGCACGAGCAGAGAAAGGCGCACGAGGGCGCACGTAAGGTAGGGCGCACGAGGGCGCTTCTAGCCGAATAGTGGGCCCGTAGTAGTAAGCGGTCCTAGGTGGCTAACCTAGGCTCGTGATACCATGTCAGAATGAACAAGAGTGATTGCACTAGGAAAGAGTTGGGTACAAGTAGGAAACCCTAAACTTACTGTACCCCATAGTAACTACCCCACTACAGCCTAAACAAACTGTAGCAGATATAACTTTTGACAACGACAAGCACTCACGGGACCTCACAGCAAGGAGTGGCGCGAGGCAATGGATGCGGAGATCAGGGCACTCGAGTCACGCGACACCTGGGTACTCGTCGATCGTGCAGCAGTGAAGGGGAGAAGGATCCTCTCCGGCAAGTGGGTCTTTCGCGTGAAGACCGGAGCTGACGGGACGATCGAGCGCTTCAAGGCGCGCTGGGTAGTACGCGGCTACGACCAGAGGCACGGGATTGACTTCGATCAAACGTTTGCGCCGGTGAGCCGTCACACCTCCGTCAGGATACTCCTCGCCATCGCAGCCGCACGACATCTGCCGCTCCGCCATATCGACGTCAAGAATGCATTCCTGTACGCACTCGTAGATGCAGTAATCTACGTGGAGCAGCCGCACACATACGGCGAAGGGGATTCGCGGGTCTGCCAGCTGCGGAAATCACTTTACGGGATTAAACAGGCGCCGAGACTCTGGCAGCAGTACCTGCACAACATACTGTTTGAAATCGGGTTCAAGCAGCTGCCTCACGATCCTGGGATGTATCGCCGCGACTTCCGCGGCGAATACATCCTACTCACGGTCTACGTCGACGACCTCCTCTACACAGGGTCAAGCAACGAGCTGCTTGAGCAATTCGAGAAAAACCTCGCAGGGCGCGTCGATATCACCTGCAACCATGACGTGAAGCAGTTTCTCGGGCTCAACATCACCTACTCGCCGGAAGCCATTCATCTCTCAGCAGCGAAGTATGCAGAAGAGCTTAGCAAGCGCTTCAACATTGCGCCTGCACCACTCTCCACCCCTTACCGCACTCCAGGACCCAACCACAAGCCTGACAACAAAGCCCTGTCCCCTGCTGGACTTCACACTTACCAGCAGCAGTTGGGATGCCTGCTCTTTGCATCTGTTACCTGCAGGCCCGATCTTTCCTACATCGCGAGCCAGTTGGCTCAGTACTCCCGCAAACCAACGGCTGAGAATCTACTAGATCTCCATCGGGCGCTTAAGTTCTTCATCTCCACGCCCAGTGTCGGGCTCTGCTACTCCACCATCCCAACTTCATCCTTCAACCTCATCGGCTACGTGGACGCCGATCACGCCGCTGACCCTGACAATCGACGGTCCAGGACAGGCTTCCTTTTCCGCCTCGAGCCCAGCGGCCCCATCTCCTGGAATTCACAGAAACAGGAGCTGGTTGCCCTGTCATCAGCGGAGGCTGAATTCATTGCAGCAACAGCAGCCGTTCGCGAAGGCCTCTACCTTCAGGAGCTGCTGCAAGAGGCGAAAATTCCAGCCTCGACGAACTTTCGCCTGCACTGCGACAACCAGAGCGCGATCAGGATCGCGAACAAGCCGGGATTCGTCAACCGCACCAAGCACATCGCGCTGCGGTACTTCTTCGTTAAGGACGAATTTGACAAAGGCAAGGTTGACCTAACCTACTGCCCGACGGGTGACATGGCAGCTGACTTCCTCACGAAGAAGCTGTCACGTCAGCAGTACCAGCACTGCTCCGAGCTCAGCGGAGTAGTCAAGCGGGTTAAGACTCGCTACGGCCAGGAGTGAAGGGGGGTGTTACGAATGGAAATTATTGAAACACTACTGTGCACTCCTCACCGCAGCAAACGAAGCACGCACTACCGAGAGTGAAGGCGAAAGGGCGCAAGTGACGCGAAGAGTCGCACGGTTACGAAAGCATCTGGACCGTCGGGCAGACAGCATCAGGCAGCAGCAGTGGCGAAGATTCTGCCCGGACAGTTTCGTAACTGTCTGGAGTCGCACGGTTGGATTTCGATGTAATAAGGGAATGTACCCCTTAGAGTACATGGCTAGCTAGGTCGATTCAAATTCCCCTGTACTCTTATTTATATTCCTTGTACTGCATGTTTTTTTTATCTCAAGCATTTACATTCACTCTGCTATTGAGGTCAAGGGCCCACCACCACTAGATTAGGAGTGTGCGAACCTTCCTGAGGTGATCCTGAGGTCGATCAACTTCTGATCGCAACAGCCCTGTTAGCAGTAGCGGGCGAACAACGGCTGCTTCTGTACGCGGTGTTGAAGGACGTAAGGAATGTAAACAGGATCCTTAGAGTGAGGTAAAAAAGGCAAATGTCCATTGCAAGAACGAATTCAGGCTCTAACGATGTTTGGGCCAATTATATCCTTGCGAAGAAATATCGGTCCCTCGTGGCATCCATCCTGCCCACCCAGTCAGCGCCGTAATTCCTGCCATGGATTTGTGAAAGCCCAAGCGAGGGACTGACGTGGCAAAGATCACACCAAATCTGCCAGTCTAGATGTCGCTGCCCCGAAATCAGCTCGGCTGACCTCAATTACACATGAACCACCCTTTTCTGAAGCTGTCAATCCCTTTCTCTCCCACAAATCTCTCTTTTCACATCTGCTGCTCAACCATTACTTTTACAGTACCCCAAATCTGTGGCAGGAATCCCGTTTTCAGTTTTATGGCGTAGACTCTCCTCTCAGCATCAAGCCTGCCGGTGGATGTCTGTCGGGACTTGCAAGGAGCTGCTTAGACCCACGTGAAGGTCTTTTTACAGCAATTAAGAGGAGCCACACGCTGACTCACTCGCTCTAGACTACGAAAAATCTCCCACATCCAGATCCTAGGTTGCTGCCGATATCATATGCTTGCGAGTTTACAAGAGGCTAGAAATCTCCGCTCGAGCGCACCCGCGATGGCTGACGATCCTCCCTCCACCGAGAAGCCTGGTATTTTTGGTCGGCGAACAAGCATGGTGGTGGGTTTGCGCAATACGCACTGTTGGCGACTACAGAAGTTGGATTGGATGATGACTCAGCTGAGACAAGCTTTGGCGGAGTAGTGCGAGCTCGTTATGGGGAGGGGGACTCGCTTTCCTCCCCCCACCCACCCGCTATGCGATATTTTCTCTCGCTCACGCATCAGACGGGGCGGAAGCTCTTCACACTCGTTTCCCTTCTCACAGACGACGGGTGAATCCGGAATACGCTAGATTGCGTCACGTGCTCCCGGCTAGATCTTCCCCGTCTCAGCCGATCGGACGAGATAGCGGCATCTGATGTTATAATGACTTACATCGCTATTATACGTGCACAGTACCCCAACCACACTCACCATCGCGACGGAACGGAAGTGACCTCGCATCTCCGCCTCACTCCTCGTCTCTCGTCTCTCGTCTCTCCCAATGGATATCTCTATCGGGATTTCTCCCCCCCATCGATATCTCCACTGGATATCACCCCCTCCTCCGCGCGTCCCCCAGAGAATTTCATACCCCACGCAGAGTCCCCGTTCCGCCGCTCTGCCGCCTGGACGCGTCCCCCCCGCAGCTGCTTGCACGCTCTGCCGCGCAGTGTTCCGGCATTTCGGTCCTTCTGCTCACACGGACAGTCACCTGCAGCAATGGCCCGTTGCTGCTCCGTTGCTGCTTCTTCAGGCGTTCCCCTTCCTCCTCCGCGGCAGAACCTGGGCCGCGTCACATAAGCACGATAAGCGCGTAACATTGGTTGCCGCGTAAGGCATTTCTTCGATGATTCAGACTCCCGCCGCCTGAACCGGACAGCCTACTAGGTAGCCGTAGTCAGTGTGAAGGCTTCGAGTGATTTTCCCACGAAAGCCGGGGTTGTACTCCGCGTTGCCGTTGGTCTAAGTCTGGAAATTTGCGAAACCGATCCGATTCGTTGCCCTGCGTCCGTCGTTTCTCTGTTTTCCGCACGAAAAGATGAGCCCAAGACCATCTTTATCTAAGGACCACAGCCCGAAACCTCCGCGGTCGGCGGGAGTTGCGCCGGCCTTCCCCTTGAAGCTCAGGAGCCCCGCGAGGAAGGGGAAGGAGCCAAAGAAGCGCAACGAGCGCGCGGGGAAGGGCTTCAAGGGCGGACCGCAGAACGCGTTGTTCGCGTTCCGCGGAGTGCGGCAGCGCAGCTGGGGGAAGTGGGTGGCGGAGATCCGCGAGCCGCGCAGCAAGCGCCGACTGTGGCTGGGGTCGTTTCCGCGCGCGGCGGACGCCGCGATGGCGTATGACGTGGCAGCCAGGCGATTGTACGGCTCTGGCGCGAAGCTCAACTTTTACCAGGCAGCAAACGATGCAACTGTCGGTAGCGGCGGTGTCGCTTCCAGCAGCGGCAGCGGAGGCCGTGGCGATCGTGCCAGTAGTCTTGAGGTCGTGGTTGGTGCTGACGCTGACGTAGACGTTGACGTTGACGTTTACGTTGACGTTGGCAGTGACTGCAAGTCAAGCGAAAGCTGCGAGGCGACGGAGGTTACCACGAGTGGCGGGGAAGGGGCGACTGACTCTATGGATCTTGACAATGACAACAGCACACGCGGCTTCAACTTATATGAAAGCCTCCAAGCTACATCGCCTCAACTCTGCTCTGAACTGCCAGTTGATGCTGCCCCTGATCCTGTCCCTGCCCCTGACCCTTCCAATGCCCCTGCCTCTGGTTTTAACCGTGCTGCTGCTGCTGCCGCCGCCGCTGCAGCTGCTGGTTCTGATGCTGCTACTGCTGGTGCGACTGGTGCGCAACCTTCGATTGATGCTGCCACTCTCGCTTCAATGCTAGACAGCTCACTACTATCTTCTCCATGGCTCCCGCACGTGGCATCGACTGTTGCTGAGATGATTCACGGCACCATGCATGTGTCTCAATCCTCTTCCCCATGGCGCCCACACATGGCATCGACTGTTGAGACGACTAACAGCATCACACTTGCGTCTCACAACGCGTCTCCATGGCTGGAAACACAAGTGGCACCGATATTCGAGACGACTCGAAACTCGTTCCTATGGCCGCCGCACGTGGCATCACCAGTAATACCATCATCCATACCATTAACCACACCCTCCACCATACCATCAACCATGTCACCACACATGTGGACATCCAGACCATCCCATATGGCTTCACCCATGCCTGCACCGTATTCTGCTTCTCTTCTTGCCTCCCATCCTGCTTCTCTTCTTGCCTCTCATCCCGACACCTTCTCACTGCCTCGGTCCACTCCTCCTCCTATCTGGGGCTCTCCCAACACGCCCCTGTCATTCCCACCACCTTCCCGCTTCGCCTTCCCGCAGTCGCACCTGCGAATGCCGGCACAGAACCAGCGCCAACGGTTGATGCAGACGCTACAGCACCCACAGGTGTTATCCCAGACGGCGCTACAGCCGCCACAGGCGCTACAGCAACAGCAGCTGCTTTCACATGCGCTGCAACAGCCACAAGTGAACTTCCATGCGCTACAGCACCCAAGGGCGTTACAGCAGCAACTGCAGGCGCTACAGCACCCACAGTCGCTACTGCACCCTCGGGTGCTTTCACAGGTGCTACAAACGCCAGAGGTGTTTTCACAAGCACTGCATCAGCCACAGATGCTCCCCCATACGCTACAGCAGCCAGAGTTTCTATCAGCACCACTGCAACCGCTACAACCGCCACAGGATTCGATGAGCCTGCTACAGCCGTCCACTGAAATGGCTGGACTCACGGAAAGCGGAGCTGGGGCACTCCAAGTTCCGCCCCACACTATGCTGCCGGCACAGCCGCTACAGCCGCTACAGCTGCCACAGCTGCAGCCACGGCCGCTGGCACATGTGATACTACAGCTGCCTCAGACACCAGCACATGTGCTACAACCGTCACAGTTGCTGACAGGGGCGCTACAACAAGCACCTGTTTACTCAACACAGGAAGCGCTACAGCCGCCACAGCTGCCACAGGCGCTACAGCCGTCACTGCTGTCCCACATGCTGCAGCCGCCAAAGAAGTTACAACTGCCACAGCTGCCGGCACAGGCGCCATCACTCCCCATGCGATTGCCGTTTTCGCCCGGTCATCAGGACATGCTGATTGGCCGAGAGAGTGCACGTCTATTGGGGAACCCACAAACGGAAAGCACGGTCGGGCGTCAAGGGAAGGCTGGGCTGCTGCTGTGTGGTTCTCCTCCTTCGGACCAGCTTCAAGGGCCGTCAGGCTTGCTGTTGCCTGGTGATCTGGGTACAATCAGGCCAGTCAGGCTTGAAGGCACAAGACAGCAGCAGCAGGAAGGGATGGGGATGCGGGAAGGTGCAGGCTGGCAGGAGATGGTTGAAGGGCATGAGGCCCTTTTGAAGGAGCATGAGATGAAGGTGATGCAGGAGGAGGTGCTGCGGCTGCGAGGAGCCTCGAGTGATGAGAGAAGTTTCCAGGCGGCTCAGAACATGCAAGAAAGGGCAAGTCTGCAGGAGATGCTAAGGGAGCATGAGATGAAGGTGATACAAGAGGTGCTGCTGTTGCAGGAAACACGGCTGCTGTCCCTGCAGCCCCCTGCCTCGTTGTTTGAGGCGCCTCATAAGCAGGCCTCTGCCTCTTCTCCAATTCTGCCCCGAGGCAAGCCAGGCCAGCCGGGCGAGCTGGATAGGCTCAGGTTCGGCGCTCCCGAACCTGCCAGTGGGGTTCGTCGTAACGAGGTGGTTAGTGGGAGCTGCTGCAGTATAGGAGGCAGCAGTAGTGGCAGCAGTTGCGATGTCAGGCTCAAATATATGAGTATCAGGGGCAGCACCAGCAGCAGTGGCAGCAGCAGCAACAGCACCAGCACCACTACCACCACCACCACCACTACCAATACAAGGGGTATGGATAATTTAACCAGTGCAGCTTTCTCTCAAGCCAGTCTGCATATTCCAGCCAACACTCGTGAGGATTCGCAGCTAGCTTCTGCAGAAACCATTTCACACAGTCATTCAGCTGTTTTTCCATCCTTCACCCCGTCTACCAACCAGAGTACTTTCCTTGCTACTCAAGGCTTGGGGTCGTCTGCCCTGCGAGCAGCAGCAGGAATTTTACCCATGGCAGATTCGGCAGCAGAAGCATCAGCCAAAACACTGGCGGAAGCAGCTGCATTGATGGGAACTGTGGCTTTAAGGGGGTGTTCAGCAGCAGAGGCAGAAGCAGAAGCAGCAGAAGCAGAAGCAGCAGCTCCAAGGGAGTATGGGGATCCAATGCCGTTGTATCTGGAAGAATGGAGAGATACAGGTACTGGTGGTGTTCCGTGGGAGCATGGTGGCGGCTCTGAGTGGTGCTAATTTACTGATTGAGGTGTGACAATAACCTGACTCCAGTGTACACTATACATGGTACCTTTGTTGATGGGTTAAACCTGTTGTGTTCGTTGTGACATCAGAGTCTTCTCCCTGTGCTGGAGAATCCTGCGTATGTATTTTCTGAAGGAAATAAACGTTACCGTATTCCTCGCTCGAGCATGTGCTGTGATTTTGATGATAAAAGCGTGAATAAATAATTCCGTCTAATAAATAATTCTCAGAATTACCTACACTCTCACATCTCAGCGTTACATACACTCCTATTCCCGTGCCCCAGTTAAGCCCATATGCCTAGAGAGAGTCAAATAGGCTTATAGCCGGTTGTATGTTACCGAACCCTCTTTTCAGCTTCGCGTTTGCGTATAACACTGAACCTGTTTTTACGGCAATATAGAACTGTCCGTAAAACGAACATATTGATTGGGTGCCAATTAAAGTCTGAAAGGAAAATGAGAAATATGAGCTGTCATGTTTTTTGCCTTCTTTTATAAATAAGCCAATATGGGCAAATGTTTGTAGATTGGACAGTTTTATTTCTGATGAGACAAAACAGACAAAAACACTTCCGACAAAACAGTCCTTCTGTCAGCTGCTCAGCAACCAAACGCCCAAACCCAAACATGGCCGCCAATGGGGTAACAGACTGTCGTTTTACCCGCTAGCCAATTTGGCCCACGATACTGCTATTTTCACATCTCACCGTCGGTCTTTTTCTATTTTTGGCAGCGGTGGCAACAGGAAGCCTTTCTACGCTACCTCATCCACGCTAACTCTCAGGTAAGTGCTGCCGCACACCCTCCTGCCTCTCTCAGTCGTTTGAAAACTCACCGTTACATTATGCCTCGTGTTCCTATTCCTTTCCTCTGCTGTCGCAACGTCGCTCTCTCTGTCGCTTTGATGCTCCACACCTTGCCTCGCCACCCCTGCTTTTATGCTTGGTTTCCGGACTCGGGCTGCCGATTAGGCTTCCAGTCTACTCTGTTGAATCGCTGTGGCCAACGCCTTTGCGTTCACATCCTCGCTCTCTCCTCTGCTTGCATTTGGCCTCGTGACTCCCAGTCAGCGCTCTTAGATCGCCCTGGTCATGGCTCTCGTAACTGCCTGCCTGACCTCCCCCACCCCCGACGCCTCGCAACCCTTGATTTCGACCTTCCTCTCGTGCCTGCAAGCTTATCCTACCCCCCTGTTCGTTTGTCCAGCTTCCCTGCCCTGTCTTTGATGTCGCTAAACGCCTCGGCTATTGACGTAACTCACACCCACTCCCCCAGATGTCCCCCCCCTCTTCCCCTCCCAGGCTCGTGCCCCTGGCCAATACGACGCCGCCCCTATCCATTCCCCTAGGTCGGCCTCCTCCCCTAGTTGTGGCTCACCGTGGCTGTCGCACCTCCTACCCTCCCCGCTCCACCCTGTCCTTACACCGCCCCTCAATCCCCCTGGTTCACCCTTCCCCCCTTATGCTTCTCTGGTTTCACCCTGGGCCCTCAGGCGGTCCTGACATCCCGCTGCTCTACCCTCCGCCCTTTCTGTCTTTTGAGGCGCCTTCACAATGCCCCTCAGACACCCCTGTTACCTTGCCGCTCTACCTTCCACCCCTTATATACCCCCACTTGTGGTGCTCCCTGGCCCCCATCTCCCTATGTGTGCCTGGCAGAAGCCTTTGCTATATGTGCTTCCAAGCAATGCCGCCTCAGTCAGAGAACTACCCCCCTCTGCCTGCACCCCCTTCAGCTTTCGCTGCCCCTTGGTTGCGTGCCCCACGATATTGTGCATCAGATCGCGTCAAGCCGCTTCCATGTGTCAAATGCTTCACTTGCTATCGTTTACTAAGTCTTGTCTTGGTCTATACGCTCAGCTGCGACACCTGTCCAAACTTTAGCTGGAAAAAGGGCTACTGTTACTATATTGGACACTACCGTCAATGCAAACTAACAAAAGAGCATAACAATGATAGCGTGTCATTGCACACCTTTGTCGTAAGAATGATAAAGGATCGTACACTTTCTTATTACCTGATCTACATACAAACCCCCATAGTCCACCAGTCAATCACTTTTCTGCACTTAGCTATATCAGCGCACCTCATGTCAGCCTTGCGGAAAAAAACAGCACGCACATATACTTCACGCACCCCAAACTCCAAAGCATTGCTTCGACATCTCTTTGAATTCAAGTACCTACCGGTACGCCTCCTGAACACGCAGACATGCAACCCAATGTCGCCTCGGCGCCACCAACCCCACCAAGCCTGGCACGCCCCCGGCCTCACCTTCACCCCTTGTACTCACCTGCGACAACTTGTGCCTAGGCCGTAGATACGCACGATCTCCCGTGCGGTGGCCTTCACGTCGTCGCCATGTTAACACACCTCCGCATCCTATGCATCAACGTGAACGGAATCAACGAGACACGCAAAATGGATGAGCTCAAGTCTTGGCTGGCGAGACTTCCTGCACCCGCTGACTTGGTCATCCTCATTGACACCCGGCTCATCCACAGAATCCCCAACCTCGACCTAAAACTTCGACCTCACTCCTCCGCTCACGCCCCAGCACTTCTCTCTACCGAGAGCGCCACAGGGAGGCCCACGCTCATCGGCGGTGTCTCTATCCTCTCTTTCAACAGGGCTATCTCACTGTCCTCTCCAGCCCCCTCCGCAGACGGCAGACTAATCACTGTACACCTCAACTATCTGCGTGAGCAAATCCGCCTCATCGCCATTTACGCCCCCACATAATTCTACGGACGCAGAGTATGGTGGACCACCACACTCGTCCGGCACTGGAAGCCCCCACCGCCGCCTCCGCATCCATGCTAGCAGGAGACTTCAACTCGGTCGTCCTCCCCATCGATAGGAATCGCCCTCCAAAAGACTTCGAGGCTCGTGAGGGCGCCTCATTCGCCAAACTCATGGAAAACCACGCCCTGATCGACACCTTCCGCGAACTCTTCCCCACGCCGACCAACGTCTTCTCCTTCTTCGGGAGGCAACGTCTCAATACTGCGACACCCCCCACCTCCTCCCGACTCGACAGAATATACATCTCTCGAGCTTTTATACCCCGCCTCACTGCAAGTCCGTACATCCAGACCCGCACGGCAATCACGGACCACCTCTACGCCCCTCTCTGCTCGCTCAGCTTCATCAACCCCACAGTTGCCCCCCGCCCCTGGCGCCTCCGACAGCATCTACTTATGCGCCCTCATGTCTCTCAAATCATCGACTCCTGCCTCGCAATCTTCCCAAGCAATCCTTCCCCAGACTCCTGGGACTCATGGAAGCTCGATCTCACCCTTAACCTCAAACGCTTCTCCAACCTGGAACGGCGCCGCGTCGATGGCACAGTCACACATCTGGAATATACCATCGGCTCACTTCAACGACATGCTGCGTATAAGCCCCTGACCCAGGCCGAGCCTAACCGCCTTGACCAAGCAAGACTCCACCTGGCCAGGTATGAAGCCTCAAAAGCCTCCAAAATTGTGCTCAAGGTCAAGCTTAAAGTGGAAGGGCACAGGGAAATTGGAGTCTCCTCCCTTCTCTCTGGCCTCAACTCGCGAATCAAGGGCTCGATCATCAGCTCCCTGACCTTACCCAATGGACAAACAAAGTCGGACCTCCCCACCATGACGAACCTGTGCTCCAACTTCTTCCAGACACTTTACAGCGGAAACAACCCCGCCACCGTAAACTCGGCCTTCTGGCAACACATCCCTCCCTCCTCCATCCCGAACCCCCTACTCCTACGCCTCGGCGCCCCCTTCTCCCTAGCTGAAATTGGAAAAGCACTACTCTCTCTGTCCCGAGGAAAAACCCCCGGCCCAGACGGTCTGCCCGGGGAACTCTTTCGGCAATTCGCCCCACGATTTGCACCGGTCTTCCATTCCCTGCTCTCCCCTCCACAACCTCTCTCTCGCTTATCCCCGTCTATGCTGACCGGACGCACCGTCCTCATCCCCAAACGGGGTGACTCCTCGCTCGTAGAAAATCTTCGCCCCATCACCCTCATGAATGCTGATTACAAGATACTCGTTCTGTGTCTTGCTAACCGCCTCCAGCTCGTTCTTCCCCAGCTCATCCACCCGTCCCAAACCACCTTCATCAAACACAGGAAAATTGGAGACACAATCAATGACACCCTTGACAGCATGGACTGGGCAGCATTCTCATCAACCCCTCTCCTCGCTCTTACGGTAGACTTTCGAAAGGCCTACGACCTGGTCGACCGCCCCTTTCTCCTCCAAGCCTTAGCGGTCCTAGGGATTCCAGCTCCCTTCATACATTGGGTACGACTAATGCACTCCGACACGAACACACGAATCTCCGTCAACAACATGCTCGGCCCCACCTTCCCTGTCCGTACGGGCGTCCGACAGGGTTGTCCTCTGGCACCTCTTCTTTTCGTCTGTGTCATAGAGATCTTCCACCGATACATGTCCCTCTTCCTACCCGGCTTCGCCCTGTCTCCCGTCCAGCGCCGACTCATGGCATGTTACGCGGACGATGTCACTCTCTTCCTCACCTCAGACACAGAGCTCGGCCTCGCAGTGATACTCCTCGGCGTCTTCGGTTCCGTGTCTGGGGAGGTACCCAATTGGAACAAGTGCTCCATTATTCCCTTCAATATTCCCCCCACTGATCTCGCGCATGCCGGGCCTATCCCCGTCCGAGCCCCCAGCGAAGCAGAACGCATCCTTGGAATTTATGTTGAACGATTACACCCCGGATCCACCACCTAGACTAAGGCTCTCGCCCGTATACAAAACACCGCCAAATTCCTGGCGGCCTTACATGCCACTGTCACGTGCCGCAAATCTCTGTCATCGATCTTTCTGAACTCCGTCATCTCCTATCCCGGCCGCTTCCAACCTGCTCCGCTGAACACCATCAAACGAATTGACAAATCAGTTGGGAACTTCCTCTCGTCCTCAAAACATAAACAGGACGGCCTCGCACAACGCTTCCTCCCCAATGGCCTCCTTTACAACTCACCCCAAGACGGTGGGGTTGGTGCGATCGCCCCATCTACCCAAATCAAAGCCCTCGCTATCCAGCGTGCACTGATTTGGACCCACCCCGTCCGAGGAAGTCACAAGGACCCTGACCCCGTTCCCCTTCGGGCTACATGGTCTGCTCTCCCATAAAGCCATCCTTGAACGTGACTATCTTCCCTCCTTCATCCCCCCTCGGGCACTGGATGAACTTAAAACCCTCCTCGCTCTTCCCCTGGTTATCCATGCCCCCCCCCTACGCATGCAATGCATCCTCACCGAACCTCTCGCCTTAAACCGGTTGCTCCTCAAACCCGACGAGCGACCTTTCGGCACCCGCCAACACGAGCGATTCCTGCTTACAGGACAGCTCCGCATCGGACACATTGTCCGAATCACCACCTTCGACGTCAGCCCTATCTCTGCTCAGGAGTTCTGCTCCCAACTCCCGGAGGAATTTCACGATGACGCCACACGCCTCCTCCCAGATCTCATCAAGGCTATCAAGCCTCCCTGGTGGGCCGGCCTCCGATCCCCTCACTCCTCCTCTGCCTCCCCTGGAGATTGGTTCATGCCCTCGGACGACCACTACTCCATATCTCACCTCGCTATCCAGGTCGTCGCTTTCATCCCCCCCTCTACCGTCTCGGCTACTGTCCACCCCGTCTCGCCCAACCATCGCATCGGCCGTACCCCAATCAATACCGGACTCTTCCGTTTACAAGAGTATGTCAGGGAATGGTGGCTCGCAGGGCCACTTCACACAGGGACAGGGTTAGGAGCTAGGGTAGAACTTCTACAGGACGGAACCCCCAGCCTCGCCGACATCCGCCGTCTCCTCTACTCCACACAGCCGCTTACTCACCACAGTCGATGGACCCGAGACCTCACCCTTCCTCCTCCCCCTCTCCCTGGCCTTAAGGACCCCTTTCTCAAAGACCAGCCGAGCCGCCAACGGGATATCCTCTTCAGACTCTACACACTAACTCTCCCCTCTGGATCACGCTTCCAATATTTTGACGACCGAGGGGTTTGCCCCCGGTGTCCTGCTGCTGTTACAGAGACACTGCCGCATATCTTCTTCGAATGCGCCTCCGCCGGAAATGTCATCTCTGCTCTGCGCACAGTCGCTGACCGTCACCTCGGACAAACCGCCCCCGCCGAACACATCTTCTTCCCGCTACAGTCACGGGTTGGACAGTCCCCCCCATGGAGCCTACTAATAGGAGCAGCAGCCAAGACGCTGTGGAACAGTCGCTGTGACCACAGGTACCGCAACTCCTCCTCCTCGAGCTTCGAGATACTGTAGCTCATCTTAGCCCAGTTCCTCATCGCCTTCAAAATTTTCATGTGGAGAGGCAAACGCCAATCGGCCAAGAAGCGTCAACGTATATCATCCAGCATCAAGCGAGCACAGAAACTCCGCTTCCTCCTCTTCGACAGGACCGGCACACCCTCTATCCACCCCGACCTAAGGTTCTCCTGGCTCTTGGGAAACCCGTTCCGACCACCATAGTCATCCATCGCATAGAGCGTCTCCCCAGGCAGCTGGCGGTTGTCCGCGAGGACAAGGAATAACGTGTGTTCCACGTGCTCCACTGCGGATGCTGGCCACCTCGGCCATGTTTCTAGACTGCTCTATGGATTACTCTTTGTACTTTGATTACGATCAATATATAACCTTAACCTTAACCAAACATGGCCGCCAATGAAAGCAAGGTGCAAGGAAGATGAGCCATGGATGATGCTGACTTGGCAGGAAGAAGTTTCGAGGGATTTGAGGCGGAGGCGGGAGAGGAGGCTTACGTCATTTTTGGCTGCGTGTGGTTTAGGAATCCGAAATGAGGGATCGGACGGAAATAAAACTACATGCTTTCGCTCTGGCTGCTTTGCCGAAAGTGGGTCTCACCAAAGCCTACTAGTAGTCTCTAAGAGATTCTATCTAACTGCGGTTTTTATATACCCAGGCTTTTGGGTGAACGACGAAGAAATACTGCACCATTTCCCATGCGGAGCCACGCTGGGATGGTTTATTGAGCGCGACCGTACAGACGCGGGCGGGACTCCGCTCCTTTCTAGTCGTCCGTCCGTACACGCTGCATCAGCACAGCAGCACGGAGAGCTGGAGTAGACACGTGTAGAGACAGACCTCAAAACTGGGGCTGACAGTGAATAGTGAAGATTCCCCCCCGTATGCGGTGGCTTCTAGGTGCGATTCGTAATCTTCGTGCAAATTCCCCATTGAGAGTATTTTTTAGAGTCCCTATTTGGACTCACAAATTCTATAGGCCCGACAGAATCCCGACGGATTAGCCTGACTAAATCAGGTAACTAGAGGAATCTAGTAAAAGGTTATCGTTTTAGGACACCCTTAGCGTAGTATGTGTCCCACCGACTGGCCAAAGCGGCCAATACGCTTTCCCGATTAGATCAACGTGTCTTCCTTATGGTGTACAGACGCTTCCATTCGCCGGTGCGGTTGGACGCGGCTGTGTGGCACATTCGCCGGTACATTGGCGAGGCGAACCCCAATTTCATATGTTCACACATTTGCCAATTTCGCTCGCAAACCACCATCGGCAAATGTCCCGTGACTTGACTATTCTCAACACTACCGAGACGAAAGCCTTTGCGAGTAGTAATCTTATGGAGCGCCGCGCATCGTCTCTTCTCTGCGTCCTGCTTCTCTGTAGTAAGCCCTGTTATCATGATCCACACTCTTCAGCTGCGTGCTTTCGTTGCCATTGCCATCAAAATCAGACAAAATCCGGTCGGATATCCCAGAGGCAGTTACGACATCGTTAAGCATTCTTCCCCCACGTCACAGTGCGTTCATTTGTGCTCCCTGCCGCCCGCGGCCTGCAGGCACGGCGGTCTGCGCTGCCTACGGCGGCGCCGCGTCTGCCACATCGTCGTTCGAGCCGCTCCCCTCTCACGTCGGCGGCTCTGCCGTCGCTGTCGCTGCCGCTGTCGCTCAGGCCAGGGCTAAGGGATGGGAGGGAAAGACAATACGTAAGTGTCTTAGCGGGCCGTCAGTAGAACGGCTGGCGTCAGTACTGCTCAACTTAGCAGCACATGCTGTGTCAGCAACAACTTGAAGTGCTAAGATCAACAGCAGGCTGTCAAGAGTCTGTCCAGTGTCCAAGTTGTTTTTACTAAGCGCCGCGCGCGAGCGCAACGAATCAGCAATACTACCTGAACCTCTGCACGAATCGTGTATCGTGATGAAAGTTGAAGGTCTGAGACGTTTGAGACGTCTCAAAAGACGTCTCAAGACTCAACTTTCATCACGTGTACTACCTGAACCTCTGCACAAATTGTTTATCGTGAAGAAAGTTGGGGTTTGACACGTCTAAATCCTCAACTTTCATCACGCGTATTAACTCAAAAGCCTCCGCACGAATCGTGCATCGTGAGCATCTCGTCAATGGCTGACCTGTTGGGTACAGCTGACGGGTGTGCTGCAGCTGATGTGTGTGCTGGAGCTGATGTGCGTCTGCTGACACATGTGACGCTGCAGCTGTATATAACATGTGCTGCAGGCTGCAGTGGATTTGTGTGCTACCGTCGGTGTTATGTTCTACAGGCATGATTCATGTCAAGTCGTGCTCGTCCTTTGCGCAGCATCTATCCATGATAGAGTCTCAGTCATTGAATTCCCCTGCTTCCCAATCGTTCAGTCCCGTTTATATTTCATTAACTGCTAACTTCTCCGTTTTCCTGATCCCGCCCATTCCCATCGTCGCTAGTGAAATACGTGGCCAAACTGCGGCCTACCAAGCGCAACGGGAAAATAGTTGGGGACGCAGGAGCTTCGGGGAGATTGATGATGAAGGCGGTCGAGTAAGTCCCCTTGTCACTTGTCTCCTTGTCTCCTTGTCACTTGTCCCATTGTCACTTGTTTCCCTTGTCACTTGTCTCCTTCTCACTTGTCCCACCGATGCGGACGTAAGTCTTATGGAGTTGCAATAACTGCACAAGGACAACCATCCTTAGTTATAAACAGGTGTGGCAGAGGGGAGCATTTGATGCCATGACACCAGATCCACGTATTATCTTCTTTTATTCCAATGTACTAGGAACACCTCCCTGCCAATGGGAGCCGCAGCAGTGCGTCCTGAAGGAGCATGATGTAGAGTGTGCCACGGCCGTGAACATTTTTTTAGTCGACTAGAAAATCATGCCATGGCCATACACGCCACGTTTATCTATAACCATCTGGTTGCTATCTCTCCTGTCCCCCCTTGGCAGATACTCTACCTGGTGACGATTAAGTTCCTGTTCTTAAACCTCAAGTCGGGAAAAGATATGGCGGACTTGGGTTTTGGCCCGTCCTGCTTCACAGCAACCACGTCAAATTTTCCCGCGTATAACATCACAACAGAAAAGGTTGGACGCCGCAAGCGTTACAACTTCCAACACAGCGAGGTTATTTGGTCTGAATCGGAAACCGCTGCCCGCGGGAATATAAACTTCCGGGTGACGTCATCGCATGCAGTTGTGAAAACTGCAGCTAACAATTTCGCTCTCTGTGGTAAGGTTATGCCAAAGGTTAAATAAAAGCATATGGTGCATGTGCACACCTAGGGTTTCATTTCTGGCACAGTTGTGGTGAGGGGGTGGGGAGAGGGGTGTTTCTAGTGAGGAATGCATTGGCTTGGCTGTGCTGCATTGTTCTTCAAGGTTGTAAATGAATGCCCTCCCCTTGCAGAGAAATTAGGAGAAATGTACCGTACATGATACCTTGTAAAAGCCTGTTGAAAGGTTGAGGGGGCTGGCTGGGCTAGCATACCGAGTGTAGCACATGGGTTTGGTAGCTCTACTGCAGCATGTGCTTTGCTTAGGGCATGTGCTTGTGGCAAAGCTGGGTTTTTACAGCCTGTCCAGCTGTATCAGACTTGCCTTGACATTCCATGGAATGGACCCTTGGTCAGTCAGAAAGAGCGCATCATTCCCAAGCGGGTAACAATACAACGGGCCATTTGAGAACCTGCAGTACAGCTACCAGATCGGTAGAGGTGGCAGAGCAACAGTACCGTATGAAACTAGGTCCCATTCCCAGAAACACATGGTTCTAAGGGAAATATTGTTGAAGATCGGACCACTGCCACTAGCAGAACTAGAGAGTTAGTGGAGTAGCCAAACTTACAAAGCCAAAGAACTACCAGAACAGCAGAGAAAGCAAAGCTGTATAGCAGCAGAGCTACCTAGGTCCCCAGGAGAGCATGGTTCCAAGGGGAATGACAATGGAGCCAGCCAGGTTACATAGCTCCCAAGAAGGACCCCGTAATAAAGCTGCCGCTAGAGCATTCAGAGAGCTAGCAGTACAGGAGCTGTAGAGCAGGCAGCGCAGCTTGGCAGCCAGAGTGCTGGAACTATCTAGGTCCCCAGGAGCGCATGGTGCCAAGGGGAATAACATTGGAGCCTGACTGCATGGCTCCCCTGTGCCCTCCATGCCCCCTGTCCCTGAAGCCTGCAGCATGGGCGCACGTGACAAGCACACGGTAAGAAGCACACAACAAGACATGAATGGTCCGAAAGCAGAGATGAGCCAGGCCAGGCCCCATAGCCTCCCCACATACACCAAATCGGAGCCCTTGTATCAATGCTCTACCATGCCCAGTTTTGAGGCGCCTCGAAACAAAACTCGATAACTTCTGAGGCGCCTTGAAAGTATGCTCTACCATGCCATTGCACTTATCTCCAAAGCCAGCAACAGCAGGTTGAGGGAGGAGGGAGGTGGAGAGAGGCGGAGGGAGAAGCGGGGAGGGGGAGGCGACTTTGAGACAGCACAAACGGAGAGACAGGGCAACATGCATGCACCTCCCCCGCCCTCATGCCACCAGCGCTCGTTTCCAGAGCAACATAAACCCACCTTCCCCCATGCCCCCCTTGCCCCCCTTTGCCCCCATGCCCCTCCACACCCCTCATGCCCTCGCAACCATGCATACACCTCCTCCACCCCCCATGCTGCCAGCACTCATCCCCAGAGCAACATCAACCCACCTACCCCGCCACTCATGCCCCTCGCACACATACTCGCACCTCCCCTTCCCCCCCCTAAACACGCACCTCCTCCGCCCCGCATGCTGCCGGCGCTCATCCCCAGAGCAGCGAGGGCAGGTGGCACGACTTGATTGGCCTCCGTGAGGATCTTGATGAGATCTTTGGCCAGCCTGGCATTGCCCGCCGTGAAGAACGAGAAGGAGAACCCCGTCGCCCCCGCCCTGCCCGTGCGCCCGATGCGATGCACGTAGTCCTCGCAGGTGGAGGGGAAGTCGTAGTTTATCACACACTTGATGTCCTTCACGTCTGGAGGGAGCAAGGGGAGAGACAGAGAACATGGCGCAGAAAAGGCAGGGAACAAGGGCAGTGAGTTGCGATGCACGTAGTCCTCGCATGTGCTGGGGAAGTCGTAGTTGATCACACACTTGATGTCCTTCACGTCTGAATGGCAGGAAAGGAATGGGAAAAAAGGAAAAGAGGTGCAAAAGGGGAGTTTGAGGGTGTGAAACGGCATGCGATGCATGTAATCCTCTCCTTGCATTGTTGACAAAAAAAGGTGAAAACGGTGGAGAGGGGCAGTAGTTATGAAAACAAAACACTGGAAACAGAGATGGCGAAATGGCAATGGATAATATTAAACAGAATTGCAGCAAACTGAACACTCATGATGGAAATGGCAATGAAAACCAGACTCGAGAATGCATTGATGGTATTACATCACGGGCATGTGACAAAACAACAACCCACACAATTGAGAGTAATAGAACACATTTTTTGACCTTAATCCTCGCGCAATGTGATGCAATGGAGCAAGCGTGGGTCTTGTGTGGCAAGCCCTTAGCCTTATGTGCCGCTGCTGCCTTGCCTCTCCTCCCTGCCTCCATCGCAACACCACCATCGCACTTCCAACCAGCCAGCACCAGCCTTGTGCACAGCACAGCACCACATGGCACCACATGGCACCAAATGGCACCAGATGGCACCGCATGGCACCGCACAGCAACACATGGCACCACGTGGCAGCACATGGCAGCACATGGCACCACACAGCACCGCATGGCAGCACATGGCAGCACATGGCACCACACAGCACCGCATGGCACCGCATGACACCCCATGGCAACCCATGGCGTGTGCAGCCATGCACCATGCCCCCTGCCCTCTGCGCCATGCATCACAGGGCCATGAGACATGTGCCATGTGCCATGTGCCCAAGCACCACCAGCACAGCCAGAGCCATCAAGAGACGGCTAGCTGGCAGGCTGGCCAGCAGCCAAGGGCTGCTGGATGGTGGGGCGGTGTGTGCGTGGTGTGTGTGTGGCTGGTGCATCAGGCGGCAATGGCGGTAGCAGTGGCGGCGAGAAGTGGAGGTGGGACACGAGAGGCGGTGGAAAGGCAACGAGCATGGGCCAGGCTTAGGGCTGCACACACGACACCCAGAAATAGTGCAGGAAAAGGAAGGGAGATCGTTTTAAGCAGACAGAAATCAAGAAATTCAGCTGACCGGAAACACAGGGCAGGGTCCAAACCGCTTCATTCACACTTATGCTTCACACCCAGAGAAGACCTAGACCCTGAACCCATCTTGGTTCCCATGATGTGGTTCTTGCTGAATTTAAATCCACCCCTCCTCCCCCCCCTCCATCCACCTTTACCCTGCCAACTCTTCCAGATCACTACCTAGCCCTCTGGCAGCAACGTCGGTGGCGATCATGATGGGGTTCTTGCCGGTCTTGAACTCCGAGAGCACCCAGTCGCGCTCCGCCTGGCTCTTGTCCCCGTGGATGGAGAGCGCGGGATAGCCATCCATGCGCAGCTGGCGGGTCACCTGGTCGCACACGCGCTTCGTGTCCATGAAGACCAGAATCTTGCTGCCGTCCATCACTTGTTCCAGCAGCTTGAGCAGCCTGAGAGAGCAGGGTAGCAGGGGCAAGGAGGGGCACGCAGGGGTGAGGGTCAAGAGGCCTGCTGCAGAACATTCCTCTCCTCCACTCCACTCCACTCCACTCCACCCCACTCCGCCTGGCTCTTGTCCCCGTGGATGGAGAGCGCGGGATAGCCGTCCATGCGCAGCTGGCGGGTCACCTGGTCGCACACTCGCTTCGTGTCCATGAAGACCAGAATCTTGCTGCCGTCCATCACCTGCTCCAAGAGCTTCAGCAGCCTGTGGTGGGGGGGGGGAGGGGGAAAGAGGAGCAAGGAGAGTGAACGAGGCTGCTGGCAGCAGCTGGCGGGTCACCTGGTCGCACACGCGCTTTGTGTCCATGAAGACAAGGTTTCAGCTGCCGTCCATCACCTGCTCTAACAGTTTCAGCAGCCTGTGGGGGTGGGGGAGAGCACATACACAGGAGCGCCAAGGAGGGCGCTAGGTGTGCATGAAGACCAGGATGCGAGTGCCGCCCATCACCTGCTCTAGCAGCTTGAGAAATCTGAGATGGTGGTGGAGAGAGCAGAACAATGGGGGAGGGGGGTCACGGACGCGCATAGAAGGCGCTTGCTGTGCATGAAGACCGGGATACGATTGCCGTCCATCACCTGCTCTAGCAGCATCCTGAGGGGGTGAGGATCAGGAAGAAAGGGAAGTTAAACGAGGGTCAACGAGAGTCAAAGACGGTCAACCAGCTTAATGAGGACAAAAGCAGAGACACGAGTCCCATCAACTCGTTGGAACACCTGGAAAGAACTGTCGGGTGCTGATACTTTCTTCACGCACCGGGGTCTACTTTTGAGGCGCCTCAAAACTAGAACCGTCTGGTGCTAATACTTTCTTCACGCAATGGGGGTACTTCTCGTGGTCACTCATGATCTCCAGCAAGGGGTAACTGTCTAATACGGATACTCTCTTGACATACCGGGGGTACTTCTCGTGGTCACTCATGATCTCCAGCAAGGGGTAACTGTCTAATACTAATACTTGCTTTACTTACCGGGGGTATTTCTCGTGGTCACTCATGATCTCCACCACCTGCGTGATTGAGTGGTTCGCCTTCAGCTCCGTGGAACCAATCACAACCTGCCACGTGGACAAGCAAAGGGGGATTGAGCAGAACCAGTGAGAGTCGAGCAACGGAAGGAAACGCAGGCACGGGGAAACGAAGAGAGGGAGGGGGGGAGTTCAGCAATTACAAAAATACTTCATCGTTCTCAAAAGAACGAAATGGAAAGAAAGAGTAAGGGGTTCACTTATTCTCTGCTCACTATCAGCAAGACGACTCTGCAAATCGAAACGTTCGTGAACCAGCTTTCAGTCGAAACGACTCTCTTCTTACACTTATCACCTTATTTTGTAGAAACAATCTCCCCTCACCCGAATCTCGTACGAATCATCTCATGTCGTAAGGATCGTCTCACCTCATACGGATCATCTCATCTCGCCCAGATCGTCTCCCACCTCGTACGGATCATCTCACCTCGTACGGATCATCTCACCTTGTATGCGTCAACCAGGAACTGCCTTGCGAGCGTCTCCACCTCCCTGGGCCACGTGGCACTCCAATAGAGCGTCTGGCGATCGGGGCGAATCTGAGAGCAAAGAAACGGGAAGATAAGGGGAATCGGGAAGAGAATGGGAATCGGATGAGAACGGAGAAAGGGGGGCAGACAAGGCAAGTGAATGGGGAAGGCAATGAATGAAGTCGACGTCTGTGCGACCACGGATCAGGAAAGGGGCAGGGCGAGGAGGAGAGGGGAGGCGGCGAGGGGAGGAGAGGGGAAGGGGGGGGGGAGAGGGTGGGGGGAGGAGAGGGAGATTGAAAGATCCATTTGAACGTAAACGGTTACCTGCGAGACGATTTTTCGGATTTGGGGTTCGAAGCCCATGTCGAGCATGCGATCCGCCTCGTCCAACACGAGGTACGTCACTCGGCGAAGGCTGGTAACCCGCGACTCAAACTACACTAGGATTTCGCAAATCCTGTTGACGTGAATTGTTACCTGCGAGACGATTTTTCTGATTTGGGGTTCGAAGCCCATGTCGAGCATGCGATCCGCCTCGTCCAACACGAGGTACGTCACCCGGCGAAGGTTGGTAACCCGCGACTCCAGCATGTCGATCAGTCGCCCAGGCGTCGCAATCACGATCTCCACGCCTGGGACGACAGGAGAGGGCGAAACGGAAAGGAACGGAGGGGAGAGGAACGAAAGAGAGAGGGGTGAGAGAGGAAGAGGGAGCATCAATTGGATATTTATAGCGCAGGCGTCGCAATCACGATCTCCACGCCTGGGGCGTAGATGAAACAGAGAGGGGTTATGGGTGGAGGAGCGAGACCACGAGGGGGGTCAAAGGTGAAAGGCGAAAGACGAGGAGCAAGTTAGATTTGGTGCAGCGACATAGCCGACGCGCTACAGCTTACGCGTTACAGCCAGCGCGCCGCGCTACAACTAACGCGCAACAGCCCACGAGCTACACCCAACGCGCTACTGCCCAGCAAATAGGAAAACTACCAACCTTGATTGAGATCCCGTATTTGCGGGCCCTTGGGAGCGCCGCCGTAGACGCAGGTGCTCTTGATCTTAGAGGACGCGCCGAACTTGGTGCACTCCTCCTGAATCTGCACCGCCAGCTCTCGCGTGGGCGCGATTACGAGCACGATGGGGCCATCTCCAGGTGCTGTGGTGAAGAGAATGGATGATCGAGTAAGGTACGAAGTGAGTACAAGGTGCTTAAAAAGAGGTTGGTTGGAAACAGGTCAGACCCAACCGAAGAAAACCGTAGGGCAAGGAGTAAACAAGAGCCGTACCGAGGTAAGGCTGAGCGTTGACGTGAACAATAGCAGGAAGAAGGTAAGCCAAGGTCTTCCCAGACCCCGTCTCAGCAAGCCCGATCAGATCCCTCCCCTTGAGCGCCATGGGCCAGCCCTGCGCCTGAATCGGCGTGGGCTCCGTGAATCCCGCGCGTTGCACCTCCACGAGCACGTAGTCGGGAAACGAGGCCTCTTCAAACGAGCGGCACGGCTTCGGCACGCCGCGGCCCTCGACGGAGATCTGCCGGCGGCGACGGTACTCCTCGACCTCGCCCTCCGACATGGCTGTCACCGCTGGGTGCTCGACGTAGAAGTTTTTCTCGAAATGCGCGAGATTGTCGAATGACTGCGGAGCTAGCGTGATTGCGTCGAGATCGCGCTTGTTACCGCCGTGAAACCCGCCGCCGCCGCCACCGCCGTATCCGCCGCCGCCGCCGTACCCGCCGCCGCCAGGGCGGTAGCTAGAGCCACCGCCGCCGCCATATCCCCCGCCGAAGTCGCTGCGATTACCAGAAAATTAACATGCTACCATTAGGAATAATACAAGAGGTAGCCAGCCGTGAAAATTAAGAAAAAGGATGTTAGAGAAGTCTTCATGGAATTAGATAATGAAGTTACCTCTTTCGGTCCCTGTACGAAGATGAGTCCCCGTATCTGTTGTCATAGTGGCTCATGCTTGCAGGGAAGGATAAAAATTGAACTAGAAGCAGAAGAACAAAAAAGATATAGCTAGCTGAGACGAGATGAAAGGTCACAACAGCAGGTTGCTTGGAATGATACTAGGTTAAGAAACTTGCAGACGGAGGACAGAGGTAGAACGGAGTCCGTGACAGAAGATAAACTAGACACGGAAAAGTTATCCTAGTCTGAGCGGATAGTCCGTGTGATGTATGTTAGTCCGAGCAGACCGTCAGTATGTCAGAGGAGGTGGAATGACAAACCCTAGGTTTGCTTTGCGTGAGGTACAGGGAGATCTCGAGGCCTAAGCCGAGAGAAATATTGCGGTTCAAAAGGTTTGAAAACGGTTGGGGAGGAGAGCTCCAAAAGGATTTGCTTAGGTGGATTCGCATCACAAGGTGGTGTGGTGAGTTGTTGCGAATTTCACGAAAACATCTCACGACACGACGACGACACCTCAATGTGGTTCGGAAACCTCATTGGTGGCGAGCAACCACGATATTGGCGGCGAGCATACGAACCAAAAAGCATGGGACCAATTGGAGGCGATGAGGTAAGCAAAGTTGCACTGCACTGAAAAGGGTAAAAATTGTGAACTGAATAGGTACCACACTTCGAAGCTTATGCATTCCTGTTCCTTCTCCCCAGCCAAAACTTGAACGCCTTTATTTCCATGGGCTCGATGTTCTCACTCTTGCTCCTCCTTTCTCGAACATCCGCGCCATTTCCACCCTTCCCCGACCCCTCACCACTTCCATTCCTTACCAAACTAGCAGTTGCTGCAGAGACACCACGCCAGAAGCTTGAGGGGGGCGGCAAGAATGCCGCAGCTGGGTAGGAGGAGCGAAGCTACGGTCAAAGCCTTGCCGATGCAGCAGCAGGGCAATCGGAGGCTCGGCAGAGGCCTGCAAGGTGGGATGATATGGAGAAATAAAAGATGTATTGCGGTCCTAATAAGCAAGGAGTCAGGCACTCGCAGAGGTGTTGGGAAAGCAATGATTTTCCAGTCTCTCAGGGCGTTGGGCACTCACAGAGGCATTGGGCAGTGGGCGGTGCACTTTGATTGACACAATGTGCATGTCGCACGGCAGAGGCCGTGACAGGGGTGCATACCCCCACTCCCACCCCCCCACCCTCGTACCTAGCCTTCTAAAGCATTGGACAAGCAGTAAAATACTTCAGTCTCTCCGGGTGTTGGGCACTCACAGAGGCGTTGGGTAATGGGCGGTGCACTTTGAAGGACACGATATGCATGTCGCAGGGCAGGCAGAGGCCGTGACAGGGGTGCATACCCCCACTCCCACCCCCCCACAACAGAGGCACTACAGGGGCAATCACAGAGGCATTGGGCACTCACAGAAGCATTGGGCAGTGGGCGGTGCACTTTGAAGGACACGATGTGCATGTCACATGGCAGAGGCCGCAACAGGGGCGCATACCCCCACTCCCACCCCCCCACCTTCGCCCCGTCCTCCACCGAACCAACCCCCGAACCTCCTCCTGCGGTTCTCCCCAAGCCCTTTTCCGAACCTGCCTTCCGGCCCCCCTGCTGCTCCCACCTCCCAGTCCCAACTCCTCCCTCCTGCCCCTCCCTGGCCTGGCCACCACCCGCGTTTTCCCTGCCCGAGCCGCCCTGCGCCACCAGTTCGCGCAGAGCGGCGGAATTTTCGGGCTGCCCGACGAAAAGAACGGGCGGGTAGTTAAGCCGGGAGGAGACGCGGTGGGAGAGGAGGGAGGGCTTGAGAGGAGCGGAGGAGGAGGGGGAGGGGTGAGGGCGGGAGGAGGTGTTGGGTTCGAGGGAGAGGTGGAGCAGGGAGAGCAGTGGGCGGTTGTCAGACACTCCCTGTGTGAGCCCCCTCCCATCGTCCTGGTTCAGCCGCCTATCCAACACCATCTCTAGCCACCCGCTCTGGGGGAGGAAGGAGGTGAGGGGAAGAGGGGAGGGGAGGAGGGGAGGGGGTAAGTGCAGGGAGAGCAAGGGTCTGTTGTCTGACACTCCCTGGGTGAGCCCCCTCCCATCGTCCTGGTTCAGCCTTCGATCCAACACCATCTCTAGCCAGCCGCTCTGTAGGGGAGGGAGGGGTGTGGGAGGGGTGTGGGAAAGGGAAGGGCGAGAGGAGGTGTTGGATTCAAGGGAGAGGTGGAGGAGGGAGAGCAGCGGGCGGTTGTCTGACACTCCCTGGGTGAGCCCCCTCCCATCGTCCTGGTTCAACCTTCTGTCCAACACCATCTCTAGCCACCCGCTCTGGGAGAAAAAGCGGAGCGTGGGAGAGGGGGCGAAAAAACACATGTGAGCTGATGACATTTAAGTTACATTTTCCTGGTTGAGCCTTCGATCCAACACCATTTCCTGCCAGCCACTCCGGGGGGGATGGAGGGAAGGGGAGGAGGGAGGGAGGTGGAGGAGGGAGAGCAGCGGGCGGTTGTCTGACACTTACTGAGTGAGCCCCCTCCCATCGTCCAGGTTGAGCCGTCGATCCAACACCATTTCCAGCCAGGGAGAAGGGCGGAGAGAGAGTGTGTACTCACCTTGAGACTGGCAGCGCCCATGGCATAGCGCCACGAGTTACGATCGCCCATGGCTTAGCGTGTGTGCACAGAGAAGCAGAGCGCAGAGGGGTGTTGCAGGAAGGCCAGGGCAGAACAACCAGCTCGGTGCATAGACGCACCCAACCCCGCACCTCACAACTCACCTCTCCACCTGCTCGCTCACTCCCCTCACCTTGAGACTGGCGGCCCCCATAGCCTGGCGAGTGTGCACGGAGAAGCGCAGCCCAGAGGGGTGTTGCGGCGGGCAGAGAGAGAGAGGGGTGGCCCCTGGAGTGGAGCAGGGAGAGAGAGAGAAGCCCACCTTGAGACTGGCGGCCCCCATGGCTTGGCGTGTGTGCACGGAGAAGCGCAGCCCAGAAGGGTCTTGAAGGAAGGCGAGGGCGGGCATGGGGTAGAAGTTGCCCTGCAGGGGAATGCGGGCGAGTGTCTCCCTCCTCACCATCTGAAAGCCGTTCAGGTCCGTGTGAAAGACGTTGCCAGACCTGCAGTGGTGGTGATGTGGTGGGGTGGAGGTTGGGTGAGGGGTGCATATATGAGGGGAAAGGATGTGAGGGCGAGGGCGGGCATGGGGTAGGCATTGCCCTGTAGGGGAATGCGGGCGAGTGTCTCCCTCCTCACCATCTGGAAGCCGTTCAGGTCCGTGTGAAAGACGTTGCCAGACCTGCTGGGAAAGGCGCGGGGCATGTGAGTCGTGTGTCATGACTCATGGGGCATGAGAGGGCGAAGGCGGGCATGGGGTAGACGTTGCCTTGAAGGGGAATGCGGGAGAGGGTCCCCCTTCGCACGGTCTGAAATCCGTTCAAGTCTGTGTGAAACATGCTTCCAGACCTGGGGTGGTGGTGGTGCGAGGGGTGGGGTGGGGGGTGGGTGAGGGGTGCAGATATGAGGGGAAATGATGCGAGGGCAAGGGCGGGCATGGGGTAGACGTTGCCTTGAAGGGCAATGAAGGGTGTCCCTCCACACTGTATGAAATCCGTTCAGGTGAAAGATGCTTCCGGACCCAGGGTGGTCCGGTGGTGTGGTTGCAGATAAGGGGGGAGGGATGGCAGGGTGAGAAGATGGAACAGCAGGGAGACAGAGAAGAGATTGAGCATTTGAAGCCGCACCTGATTCCGGTTCGGTACCGGACCACGAGCTCCTTGTTACCGAGCCACATGCGGCTGGTGAGGTCCACGCGGTGCTGCACCTCCACCAGCAGAGCCTGCACCGCCTGCACCCTGTACACCCTCACCACCCGCACCACCGGCTCCGGTGCCCCCCGCCGCTGCTGCTGCTGGTAACTTCGGGACTGCTGCTGCTGCTGCTGCTGCTGCTGCTGCTGCTGTTGGTTACTGTGCTCCTGCTGTTGCTGCTGCTGTTGCAATGAGGAGTGGGACTGTTGGTCGAAGCTGTTGGGTGCATCGTCCTCCTCTGACTCTTCCGGACCTTCAGCCTCACCAACTCCCATCGCAGCAGCGGCAGCAGCAGCATCATACCCTCCTCTCTGCCTGCGCCTCGCCTCAATCCACTCGCTCTTCTCCCTTGCCACACGCTCTCTCCAACTCTCCCCAGTCCCCCCCTCCCCCTCCCCCTCCCCAAACAACGCATCCAGCCCCTCCTGAGAAGCAGCATCAGCAGGCGAGAGCAGTGTGTAGTTAAAATCGTCATCCAGCCACTGAGGCTGACCCTTCTCTTGATTCCCCCGAATCCTCTGCATCCATCTCAACCGCTGCTTCCTCCGCTCCTCCCGCCGCTGTTCCGCTGCTGTACGTGCCGATGCAAGGTCTGGTGATGCGAGGTTCGGTGAAGCAAGGTTCGGAGAGGTAAGATATGGCGAGGAAGGACCTGCCGCGAGTTTTGCTTCTCCACCACTCTGTATCGTGGACAACCGCTCGCCTTCTGTCTCTTCTCGCTGCTGTGCGTGTCGAGTCGTAATCTCCTCCTCCCCCTGACCCTCCCGCTGTGACTGCTCAAGCAGCTTCCCAAACACACGCTGCTGCTCTCCAGTCAGAAACACCAACCCTCCCGCTGTTTCCCTTCCCTCAAAATGCCGCGGATGCAATACGTCTAACTCCTCCTCACTCACTCCCTTACTCGCTCCCTCACTCGCTTCCTCACTCGCTCCCTCACTCGCTCCCTCACTCGCTCCCTCACTCGCTCCTTCACTCGCTCCCTCACTCGCCCCCTCATTCCCTCCCTCGCTCCCTCCCGCGCTCACTCTCTCACCCCCTCCCTGACTCCCTCCCTCACTCTCTCCGTCGCTTGCTCTCTGAGTCTCCTCCTCCCCCTGTTCCTCCCTCTGTGAGTGCTCAAGCAGCTTACCAAACACTCGCTGCTGCTCCCCAGTCAGAAACACCAACCCTCCCGCCGCTTCCTTCCCCTCGAAATGCCGCGGATGCAATACGTCTAGCTCCTCCTCACTCACTCCCTCACTGGCTCCCTCAATCCTCGCTCTCTCCCTCGTTCCCTCGCTCGCTTCCTCACTCGTTCCCTCACTCACTCCCCCACTCGCTCCCTGATGCACTCCCTCACTCCCTCCCTCACTCGTCCTCTCACTCACTCCCTCGATCCCTCCCTCACTCGCTCCCTCACTCGCTCCCTCACTCTCTCTGTTGCTCGCTCTCTGAATCTCCTCCCCCCCCTGCTCCTCCTCCAGCTGCGAGTGCTCAAGCAGCTTACCAAACACACGCTGCTGCTCCCCAGTCAGAAACACCAACCCTCCCGCTGTTTCCCTCCCCTCAAAATGCCGCGGATGCAATACGTCTAGCTCCTCCTCACTCACTCCCTCACTCGCTCCCTCACTCGCTCCATCACTCGCTCCCTCACTCGTCCCGTGGTTAGCCTCCTCATTCTCGCTCCCAGAAACGTCACTTTCATCCTCGCTATTAACTGCCTCTTTACCATCAACCAGCAGCTTACGCGCTGTAGCAGAGAAACCTCCCTCTACCACATTAACAGCCCAGCCCCCTCCCCCTTTCCCATCCCCCTCCCCTTTCCCCTCCCCCTGCCCCTTCCCCTCCCCTTCCCCCTCCCCCTCCGCCCAAGGGTCAACATCCTCAGCTTGCACCTCAGCCGTACAATCATTCGGATGGGTGAATCTGAACCGTGTATGCACCTCCTCCACTAATGGCCCTCTACACACCAGTGAGGTCGAGCCCCCCTCCCCCCCCTTCACCATCCCATGCACACCACTCCCCCCTCTCTCCCCTTCAATCTTTCCATTACCCTTCCCCTTTCTCTCCCCCCTAACTCTCCCATATCCCCTCCCCACACTCTCCTCCTCCCTGTCTTCCCCATACCCACTCCCGCTCCTCTCCCCGTGCCTTTCCTTTTCCATTCCTCCCTGCCTTCCTCCCTGCCTTCCTCCCCCACTTCCGCCCTGCTGCTCCTTCACTATAGGAACGGCAGTGCCATGTGGCAGAAACAGATACGCCCCCCCTGAGCTGGCATAAAGCGCGAATTGCTCGCTGACAGGCAGAGGGGCTCGCATGGAGGGGAGCTGGGGGGGGAGAGCGAGAGAGACGGCGGAAGGGGATGGGAAGAGGGGAGATGGAGAGGGTGGGTGAAGCAAGGATGAGACAGGCTCCCCCTGAGCTGGCATAGAGCGCGAATTGCTCGCTGACTGGCAGAGGGGCTCGCATGGAGGGGAGCTGGGGGGGGAGAGCGAGAGAGACGGCGGAAGGGGATGGGAAGAGGGGAGATGGAGAGGGTGGGTGAAGCAAGGATGAGACGGGCTCCCCCTGAGCTGGCATAGAGCGCGAATTGCTCGCTGACTGGCAGAGGGGCTCGCATGGAGGGGAGCTGGGGGCAGGGGGGAGGCGTGGGGAGGGAGAGGTGGGAAGAGGGAAGGTGGAACAAATGAGCGAAATATAACATGTGGTAGAGAGAAAGAGCAGGATGTTAAGTGGAATAGGCAAGCAGTGTCGCACGCGTGCAAGCATACACATGGTTGCATTGCATTGCATTGCAGCAGCAGCAGCAGCAGAAGCAGCAGCAGCAGCGGCGGCGGCGGAGGCGGCGGCGGCGGCAGCAGCAGCAGCAGCAGCAGCAGCAGCACCATCATCATCAGCAGCAGCAGCAGCAGCAGCAGCAGCAGCAGCAGCTCACCTGTATGCCTTTGATTAGCCCATCCATGCGCCCCAGCTCCACTCGGTAGTGGCCGTTCGAAATGGAGAACATGTCACCATTGCCAGCAGCAGCAGCATAATCACCATCACCAGCAGCAGCGCCACCGGCAGCATCATCGTCCCCCTCTCCTCCACGGCGCCCCTCCTCCCCTCCCCCCACCATTTCACACACGTATGGCTCCGGACACACAAACCCCCGTGGAGGATTAAACACCACAATAGACGACAGCACAGGCGCAGGGCAGGTAGGAACAGCTGCGTGGGGTGCTATGAAATAGGTGGAAAGGCCTAGGGGCGGCACGGAAGCTTCCCAGAAAAGACGGTGCCGGCCGGAGGACGGGGTTAGGCTCATGTTGCCTCTGGACCATTCGGGCAGCAGCTGCCCGGGGAGACATTTTCCGTGCTGCCCGATGACGGCAACGGCTGGAGATTTGACGAGGACGGAAATAATCTGGGGGTTGAGTTGAGGGAAGAAGAGCCAGTAAGGGAGAAATGAGAGAACGAGAGAGGGAGGGGGAGAATAATACATCAGGGAGAGCAGAGAGGAGGAGTTTATAAGATGAGATGGGATAGCTTAAAGCAAAAGTGACCGATCAATAAATAGAGTGCAACTTTGAAATTCAATGTGATATGAAGAAGGCCAGGAGCTCCTCTCACTCACCTCCCTCCTCCCCTCACTCACCTCCCTCCTCCCCTCACTCACCTCCCTCCTCCCCTCACTCACCACCCTCCTTTCCTCTTCCAAGGGATTGAACACCACCACTCTCCTTGCTCCCACCCCTTCTTCCCCCTCTACACCGCTCCCCACCACTCTCCGCTCCCAAGGACCGTCATGCACCGACCGCCACCGCTCTGCCTCAAGGGGAGGGGGCTGCTGGGATACGGAGGAGTTCAGAGCGGTGATGGTTGGCACGGAAGGGTTGGGTGATCTGAGCAGAAGGGCAGCGACAGCAGCACACAAGAAGTCCTGTGATAGGGTGGAAGGGGAGAGAGGGGAGAGAGGGGAGAGATGAGAGGAAAGAGGAGAGGGGGAGGTGAGCGCGTGAGGGGAACCCAACCCTTCTGCAGGGGAATGTGGTGAAGAAATGGAACTGCAGTTGACATGAGTTGACTTCCGTTGACTTGAATTGACTGCTGTTGACCTGTGTTGACTCACGCTGAGGTCTGTGAGCGCCTGGTGCATGCGCAGGCTGTAGTCCTTCACCACGTGGTGCTTCGCTGAATCTTACACACGCCGTTGACTGCTGTTGACCTGCGTTCACTCACACTGAGGTCGGTCAGCGCCTGGTGCATGCGCACGCTATAGTCCTTCACCACGTGGTGCTTCGCTGTCCCTGTGATGCCGTCGTGGTGCTGAAACAGCGCCAGGTTGCGCCGTGCTAGCACCAACCGCTCTGCAAAGCTGGAAGGATGGGGAGGGGGAGGAGGGGTGGGGTTCGTGGTAACACACATTAGGACAATCCCTGTGATGCCGTCGTGGTGCTGACACAGCGCCAGGTTGCGCTGTGCCAAGACCAACCGCTCTGCAAAGCTGGACGAAGGTGAAACGAGGAGGGGAAGTAAGAGCGTGTGCATGAGTGAGAGGATGTTGAGGTGCCTCACGCGTTCTGTCGCAGCCAACCTATCTTTGGCCGAAAAAGACAAGACAGGGAGCAAACTCTTCTGCCAAAGACCCACCCACCCACCTATGCCACTCTTGTGTCCCAAAACCACCTATGACCCTCGCACCTGTTCCAGACTCACTTAGATAGGGCAGGGCAGGTGCTTGGGCTCGCCACTCCCAGCCCTGGAAGTCGAGCCGTGAGACGACCCCAGCCAGTCCGCCCAGCACTGCGTGTCAGCCGCCCTCACGCTCGCCTCCAGTGCTCACTGTGCTTCTCTCACGTGTGCCGGACACACTCACCTGAGGGGGAAGGGCAGCTGCCTGGGCTCCATCCTGTCAACCCCAGCTCTTGAACGGTCACCTCACCGCCTCCCTCCTCCCCTCCAGTCCGCCCAGCACAGTGCGTACAGCATGTCAGCCGCCCTCACACACATCCGCCTCCACTGCTCACTGTGTCACTCACACGTGCCCCAGACACACCTGAGGGGGACGAGCAGCTCCTTAAGTTCTCTACATCTCTGTATGAACTGGGCGACTTGCTGAGATGTAGAGAACACCCACCCAGTCCGCCCAGCACAGTGCGTACAGCATGTCAGCCGCCCTCACGCTCGCCTCCAGTGCTGCTCACTGTGTCACTCTCACTTCTTCTGCCGGACACACTCACTCACCTGAGGGGGACGGGCAGCTCGCTGAGCTGCGTACGACTGTCAACCCCAGCTCTTAAACTCTCTCCTTCCCCCCAGTCCGCCCAGCAGAACGCGTACAGCATGTCAGCCGCCCTCACACTGGCCTCCAGCGCTCGCCCACTGTATCCCCTCTCTCACCGCTGCCGAACTCACTTGAGGGGGAAGGGCGCGAGGAGAAGAAGCCGCTCCATCTGTGCCCCTCTCTCACCTCACCTCACCTGAGCAGAACTCACTTGAAGGGGAAGGGCAGGGCCTTGTCCTTGGGCTCGCCACTCCCAGTTGTGGCAGCCAAACCGCGTGAACCGCCTCTATCCGCCCAGCACAGCGCGTACAGCATGTCAGCGGCCCTCATGTTCGCCTCCAATGCCCGGTCCACGGCCTTCCAGAAGGGGCGCGAGGAGAAATAGCCGCTCCAGTAGTCGTGGTCGCGATCAGCACTCAGCATGTGCCGGACTCACCTGAGGGGGAAGGGGAGGTTGCTGAGGTCTGTACTGCTGTCGACCCCGGCTGCTGCGCGTCCACTCCCCCCCATCCAGTCCGCCCAGCACAGCGCGTACAGCATGTCAGCGGCCCGCATGTTCGCCTCCAGTGCTCGGTCAACAGCCTTCCAGAAGGGGCGCGAGGAGAAATAGCCGCTCCAGTAGTCGTGGTCGCGATCCGCATACGTGAAGAAATCCCCGGACAGAGACGGGAGAAGAGGGCGCAGCTGCCCGGTGGTGGTGCTGGCAGGACCGGGTGCTGAAGTTCCCACTTTTAGGTAAGCGCCGGTGGAAGCGGCTAATTTTAGGTAGGGATCTCTGTTAGCTAAGAGCCGGCGGCGCTGGATCTCGTCCTGGTGCTCGTTTTTCTGGCTGTCTACTAGTGAGCTCAGATCTGATGAGTCTGGGTTGAACGACGGTTCTTGCGTCGCCTCAGTGCTGTTCACATTCAACTCTGTGTTCAGCTGAGCCCGGAGCCGGTTTGCTCTGTGCTGGGAGTCCCTCTGGTGGGAAGCCCTCTGGCGGGCCGAGGCGGCGCGCATGGCGGTGAAATACTCGTCGAGCGTGCCGAAGCTGGCGTTGACTCGGAGCGACTTTCTGGAGTTGATGAAGGCGAAGAGCAGCTCGTAGTTTTGGAACTGGGCGTGGGCCTCGTGCATGGAGGAATAGCGGAAGTCGTCTCCCAGAGGCACCAGCAGCACGTTGGTGCGGAAGAGCAGAGATCTTGCGCCACTGGTTGGACAGGGGGCGAACAGGGTGGGGGAACAGCAGGAACCGGGGAGAACAGCAAAGCGGGGAAGTTGTGGAGGAGAGAGAACAAGAGACGAGGAAGAGACAGAGGAAGAGCAGGTGGTGGGTGTGGAACTGAGCATGTGCCTCGTGCATGGAGGAATAGCGGAAGTCGTCTCCCAGAGGCACCAGCAGCACGTTGGTGCGGAAGAGCAGAGACTTCTTGCGCCACTGGGGATGGGGAAGGGAAGCACAGGACGGGGAGGAGGGAAGGGGGACTTTCTAGAGCTGATGAAGGCGAAGAGCAAAAGGGATAAGTGGAGGGAGAACTAGAGAAGAAGAGTGAGGAAGAGAGAGGAAACCTGCCTCATCATCCCCATCCCACCTGCCTCATCATCCCCATCCCACCTGGTTCATGAGCAGGTGTGCGTGCTGCGCGATGTTCCTCCAGGTGATGTGATGGGGATGGAGTGGAGTCCTGCACCCCACTTGCCCCAGTCTCTAATGCGTGTATAAATGGCACCATCCCACTCAACTAATCCCCATCCCAATCCCACCTGGTCCACCAGCAGCTGTGCGCGCTGAGCAATGTTGCTCCTGGTGATGGGCATGGCGTCCTGCCCCCACGGGCACCAGCTCCTTAAGCATTATTAAGTTGCATGGCACCATCCATCCCACCCACTCATCCCCATCCTCCCCCCACCTGGTCCACCAGCAGCTGTGCGCGCTGAGCGATGTTCTTCCTAGTGATGGGGATGGCGTCCTGACCCCACGGGCACCAGTGCTGCGTGCCTGTGCGGCGCAAGAAGTCAAACTGCCAGAGCGGACACAGAGAGGTGAGGGAGGGAGAGAGAGATAGAGAATGAGAATGAGAGATAGGGAATGAGAATGAGAGATAGAGAATGAGAATGAGAGATAGAGAATGAGAATGAGAGATAGGGAATGAGAATGAGAGATAGGGAATGAGAATGAGAGATAGAGAATGAGAATGAGAGATAGAGAATGAGAATGAGAGATAGGGAATGAGAATGAGAGATAGGGAATGAGAATGAGAGATAGGGAATGAAGATGCGTGGAATGCGCTGGTGATGTGATGTGATGGGCATGGCGTCCTGCCCCCACGGGCACCAGTGCTGCGTGCCTGTGCGGCGCAAAAGGAAGAGGGAGGGAGAGAGAAGACTGAGAAGCCAAAAGGAATGGAGGTGCGTGTAATGCGCTTCTTCCTGGTGATGGGGATGGATGGAGTCCCGCCCCCATGGGCAGGGCACCAGTGCTGTTTGCTTGTTTGGCGCACAAAGTCAAACTGCCGGAACACCGAGGTGGGTGAGAGGGAGAGAAGTCATGTGGAAAAAAGGATGAAAGAAATCAGGCAAGTGAAACAACCAAGTGTGTGTTACAGGCACGCACCTGGCAGCACTTATGTATGTGTAACGCACCTGGCAGCACTTATGTATGTGTAACGCACCTGGCAGCACTTATGTATGTGTAACGCACCTGGCAGCACTTATGTATGTGTAACGCACCTGGCAGCACTTATGTATCTGTAACGCACCTGGCAGCACTTATGTATGTGTAACGCACCTGGCAGCACTTATGTATGTGTAACGCACCTGGCAGCACTTATGTATGTGTAACGCACCTGGCAGCACTTATGTATGTGTAACGCACCTGGCAGCACTTATGTATGTGTAACGCACCTGGCAGCACTTATGTATGTGTAACGCACCTGGCAGCACTTATGTATGTGTAACGCACCTGGCAGCACTTATGTATGTGTAACGCACCTGGCAGCACTTATGTATGTGTAACGCACCTGGCAGCACTTATGTATGTGTAACGCACCTGGCAGCACTTATGTATGTGTAACGCACCTGGCAGCACTTATGTATGTGTAACGCACCTGGCAGCACTTATGTATGTGTAACGCACCTGGCAGCACTTATGTATGTGTAACGCACCTGGCAGCACTTATGTATGTGTAACGCACCTGGCAGCACTTATGTATGTGTAACGCACCTGGCAGCACTTATGTATGTGTAACGCACCTGGCAGCACTTATGTATGTGTAACGCACCTGGCAGCACTTATGTATGTGTAACGCACCTGGCAGCACTTATGTATGTGTAACGCACCTGGCAGCACTTATGTATGTGTAACGCACCTGGCAGCACTTATGTATGTGTAACGCACCTGGCAGCACTTATGTATGTGTAACGCACCTGGCAGCACTTATGTATGTGTAACGCACCTGGCAGCACTTATGTATGTGTAACGCACCTGGCAGCACTTATGTATGTGTAACGCACCTGGCAGCACTTATGTATGTGTAACGCACCTGGCAGCACTTATGTATGTGTAACGCACCTGGCAGCACTTATGTATGTGTAACGCACCTGGCAGCACTTATGTATGTGTAACGCACCTGGCAGCACTTATGTATGTGTAACGCACCTGGCAGCACTTATGTATGTGTAACGCACCTGGCAGCACTTATGTATGTGTAACGCACCTGGCAGCACTTATGTATGTGTAACGCACCTGGCAGCACTTATGTATGTGTAACGCACCTGGCAGCACTTATGTATGTGTAACGCACCTGGCAGCACTTATGTATGTGTAACGCACCTGGCAGCACTTATGTATGTGTAACGCACCTGGCAGCACTTATGTATCTGTAACGCACCTGGCAGCACTTATGTATGTGTAACGCACCTGGCAGCACTTATGTATGTGTAACGCACCTGGCAGCACTTATGTATGTGTAACGCACCTGGCAGCACTTATGTATGTGTAACGCACCTGGCAGCACTTATGTATGTGTAACGCACCTGGCAGCACTTATGTATGTGTAACGCACCTGGCAGCACTTATGTATGTGTAACGCACCTGGCAGCACTTATGTATGTGTAACGCACCTGGCAGCACTTATGTATGTGTAACGCACCTGGCAGCACTTATGTATGTGTAACGCACCTGGCAGCACTTATGTATGTGTAACGCACCTGGCAGCACTTATGTATGTGTAACGCACCTGGCAGCACTTATGTATGTGTAACGCACCTGGCAGCACTTATGTATGTGTAACGCACCTGGCAGCACTTATGTATGTGTAACGCACCTGGCAGCACTTATGTATGTGTAACGCACCTGGCAGCACTTATGTATGTGTAACGCACCTGGCAGCACTTATGTATGTGTAACGCACCTGGCAGCACTTATGTATGTGTAACGCACCTGGCAGCACTTATGTATGTGTAACGCACCTGGCAGCACTTATGTATGTGTAACGCACCTGGCAGCACTTATGTATGTGTAACGCACCTGGCAGCACTTATGTATGTGTAACGCACCTGGCAGCACTTATGTATGTGTAACGCACCTGGCAGCACTTATGTATGTGTAACGCACCTGGCAGCACTTATGTATGTGTAACGCACCTGGCAGCACTTATGTATGTGTAACGCACCTGGCAGCACTTATGTATGTGTAACGCACCTGGCAGCACTTATGTATGTGTAACGCACCTGGCAGCACTTATGTATGTGTAACGCACCTGGCAGCACTTATGTATGTGTAACGCACCTGGCAGCACTTATGTATGTGTAACGCACCTGGCAGCACTTATGTATGTGTAACGCACCTGGCAGCACTTATGTATGTGTAACGCACCTGGCAGCACTTATGTATGTGTAACGCACCTGGCAGCACTTATGTATGTGTAACGCACCTGGCAGCACTTATGTATGTGTAACGCACCTGGCAGCACTTATGTATGTGTAACGCACCTGGCAGCACTTATGTATGTGTAACGCACCTGGCAGCACTTATGTATGTGTAACGCACCTGGCAGCACTTATGTATGTGTAACGCACCTGGCAGCACTTATGTATGTGTAACGCACCTGGCAGCACTTATGTATGTGTAACGCACCTGGCAGCACTTATGTATGTGTAACGCACCTGGCAGCACTTATGTATGTGTAACGCACCTGGCAGCACTTATGTATGTGTAACGCACCTGGCAGCACTTATGTATGTGTAACGCACCTGGCAGCACTTATGTATGTGTAACGCACCTGGCAGCACTTATGTATGTGTAACGCACCTGGCAGCACTTATGTATGTGTAACGCACCTGGCAGCACTTATGTATGTGTAACGCACCTGGCAGCACTTATGTATGTGTAACGCACCTGGCAGCACTTATGTATGTGTAACGCACCTGGCAGCACTTATGTATGTGTAACGCACCTGGCAGCACTTATGTATGTGTAACGCACCTGGCAGCACTTATGTATGTGTAACGCACCTGGCAGCACTTATGTATGTGTAACGCACCTGGCAGCACTTATGTATGTGTAACGCACCTGGCAGCACTTATGTATGTGTAACGCACCTGGCAGCACTTATGTATGTGTAACGCACCTGGCAGCACTTATGTATGTGTAACGCACCTGGCAGCACTTATGTATGTGTAACGCACCTGGCAGCACTTATGTATCTGTAACGCACCTGGCAGCACTTATGTATGTGTAACGCACCTGGCAGCACTTATGTATGTGTAACGCACCTGGCAGCACTTATGTATGTGTAACGCACCTGGCAGCACTTATGTATGTGTAACGCACCTGGCAGCACTTATGTATGTGTAACGCACCTGGCAGCACTTATGTATCGTGTAACGCACCTGGCAGCACTTATGTATGTGTAACGCACCTGGCAGCACTTATGTATGTGTAACGCACCTGGCAGCACTTATGTATGTGTAACGCACCTGGCAGCACTTATGTATGTGTAACGCACCTGGCAGCACTTATGTATGTGTAACGCACCTGGCAGCACTTATGTATGTGTAACGCACCTGGCAGCACTTATGTATGTGTAACGCACCTGGCAGCACTTATGTATGTGTAACGCACCTGGCAGCACTTATGTATGTGTAACGCACCTGGCAGCACTTATGTATGTGTAACGCACCTGGCAGCACTTATGTATGTGTAACGCACCTGGCAGCACTTATGTATGTGTAACGCACCTGGCAGCACTTATGTATGTGTAACGCACCTGGCAGCACTTATGTATGTGTAACGCACCTGGCAGCACTTATGTATGTGTAACGCACCTGGCAGCACTTATGTATGTGTAACGCACCTGGCAGCACTTATGTATGTGTAACGCACCTGGCAGCACTTATGTATGTGTAACGCACCTGGCAGCACTTATGTATGTGTAACGCACCTGGCAGCACTTATGTATGTGTAACGCACCTGGCAGCACTTATGTATGTGTAACGCACCTGGCAGCACTTATGTATGTGTAACGCACCTGGCAGCACTTATGTATGTGTAACGCACCTGGCAGCACTTATGTATGTGTAACGCACCTGGCAGCACTTATGTATGTGTAACGCACCTGGCAGCACTTATGTATGTGTAACGCACCTGGCAGCACTTATGTATGTGTAACGCACCTGGCAGCACTTATGTATGTGTAACGCACCTGGCAGCACTTATGTATCTGTAACGCACCTGGCAGCACTTATGTATGTGTAACGCACCTGGCAGCACTTATGTATGTGTAACGCACCTGGCAGCACTTATGTATGTGTAACGCACCTGGCAGCACTTATGTATGTGTAACGCACCTGGCAGCACTTATGTATGTGTAACGCACCTGGCAGCACTTATGTATCTGTAACGCACCTGGCAGCACTTATGTATGTGTAACGCACCTGGCAGCACTTATGTATGTGTAACGCACCTGGCAGCACTTATGTATGTGTAACGCACCTGGCAGCACTTATGTATGTGTAACGCACCTGGCAGCACTTATGTATGTGTAACGCACCTGGCAGCACTTATGTATGTGTAACGCACCTGGCAGCACTTATGTATGTGTAACGCACCTGGCAGCACTTATGTATCTGTAACGCACCTGGCAGCACTTATGTATGTGTAACGCACCTGGCAGCACTTATGTATGTGTAACGCACCTGGCAGCACTTATGTATGTGTAACGCACCTGGCAGCACTTATGTATGTGTAACGCACCTGGCAGCACTTATGTATGTGTAACGCACCTGGCAGCACTTATGTATGTGTAACGCACCTGGCAGCACTTATGTATGTGTAACGCACCTGGCAGCACTTATGTATGTGTAACGCACCTGGCAGCACTTATGTATGTGTAACGCACCTGGCAGCACTTATGTATGTGTAACGCACCTGGCAGCACTTATGTATGTGTAACGCACCTGGCA